CTCAAGTTCTCCTCATGTTCTTTCTTGCTCTTTGAGTATACCAGTATATCATCAATGAATACAATGACAAAGAGATCCAGATATGGCTTAAAAATCCCATTCATCAAGCTCATGAAAGCAGCAGGGGCATTCGTAAGCCCAAAAGACATTACTAAGAACTCATAATGCCCATACCTAGTCAGAAAAGCAGTCTTGGGCACATCTGCTGCCCGTATTTTCAATTGATGATAACCAGATCTCAAGTCGATTTTTAAGAAGGTACAAGCGCCTTGTAACTGATCGAACAAATCATCAATGTGAAGAAGAGGATACTTGTTCTTAACCGTTACCTTATTCAGTTGTCTGTAATCTATGCACATCCGAAAGCTCCCATCCTTCTTCTTTACAAACAAAACAGGAGCACCCCAAGGGGATGCACTTGGTCTAATATAGCCTTTGCTCAACAACTCTTGAAGTTGGGCCTTTAACTCCCTTAACTCAGCCGGAGCCATTCTATAAGGGGGTATAGAAATGGGGTGAGTACCCGGTTCAAGATCGATGCAGAAGTCACTATCTCTATCCGGCGGCATACCAGGAAGGTCTGCAGGAAACACATCTAAAAACTCGCGGACTATCAAAACCGACTCAATTGAAGGTACTTGGGTAGTATCATCCCTGAGGTATGCCAAGAAAGCTAAACAACTTTTACTATTCATTCTCTTAGCACGAAGAAAGGAGACGATACGAACCGTATTGGAAGTGTAGTCACCCTCCCACACTAACGGATCTGTCCCAGGCTTGGCTAACGTCACAGTTTTAGCATTACAATCCAAGATTGCAAAATTTGGAGAAAGCCAAGTCATACCCAGAATTACATCAAAGTCAACCATTTCTAAGATAACCAAGTCTACATGAGTATTTCTCCCCACAAAAGTCACAAGACAAGACCTATACACCTTTTCAACTATCACAGACTCACCCACCGGAGTAGAAACACGAATAGGCATGTCAAGCAATTCACAATGTAAATTAAGACCATTAGAAAATGAGGAAGATACATAAGAAAATGTGGATCCAGGATCAAACAATACAAAAGTCATGAAATCACAAACCAAAAGATTACCTGTGATGACAGCATCAGATGCCTCCGCTTCGGATCTCCCAGGGAAAGCATAACAATGGGCCCTATCACCTGTCTGCCCGTTGCCCCTACCATGTTGCGCTGCAGTAGTTCCAGTTTGCCTGTTACCCCGGCCATTTTGGTGACTACCATCACCTCGGACACCACGTCCTCCCGAATAATGGCCTCTTCCATGACCACCTCTACCTCTGATTATTGGGGGTCTGTAACTCGGTTTTGGACAATTCCTCCTAATATGTCCAGTCTCTCCACATCCATAACATTCTCTGGATTCAAGCATAGGTCCCTGTGAGAATGACGAAGTCTGGGGATAACCACCAAACTCAGAGAAATGTTGGCCGGTCTGCGGTGGACCCCCAACTACAGTCTGTAGTGAAGACTGGATAGGTCGGGCTGGGTAACCTCCTGAACCCTGCCCTCTGGAGTAAGAACCATTAAACTCACCTCCCTTACGAAACTTTTTAGATGTTGATGCCAAGGTGAAGTCATCTGGCTTCACTCCCTCCACCTTTATCACAAAGTCTACCACTTCCTGAAAGGATTTCACTGTAGCCGCTACCTGTAAGGCTGAAATCTGCAAATCTGACCTCAAGCCCTTCACAAAACGGTGAATCCGCTCTTGTGGACTGAAACAAAGTTGGGTGGCATACCTTGATAATGCGTGAAACTTAGCCTCATACGCAGTAACCGACATCCTACCTTGCTCTATGCTCAAGAACTCATCTCTCCTCCTATCCCTCAAAGTATGGGGTATATACTTCTCCATAAACAAGCTAGAGAATGATACCCAAGTCATAGGTGGTGCTTGTGTGGGTTGGCACTCCACATCTGACCGCCACCACATTTTGGCATTTCCCTGAAACTGATAGGTTACAAACTCAACGCCAAATCGTTCCACTATGCCCATTTTATGTAGTAACTCATGACAATCAACCAGAAAATTGTAGGCATCCTCAGATTCAGCACCCTTGAAGACTGGAGGTTTCAATTGCAAGAACTTACTGAAAAGTTCATGCTGATCGCTTGTCATTATAGGCCCTGTAGTCAAACGAGGAAACATGCCTATTTCCAATGAGGCATCCATGGGGGGAGCCTCAGCAGCGGCCTGTCGTACATCCGGAACCTAAGGTGCTGGTGCGGAAAACACTGGAGGTGTCTGGCCTTGATCAGTTAACCCGCTAAGATAAGCAAGAACCTGATTAATCATCTCTGGGGTAGGTTGGGGTGGTAATTCCTCATTCTACACTTGCTCACTTTCCCCTTCCTCACCCTCTCTTACTACTTCCTCAGTCGGTGGGGGAGTCACCACCCTAGTACTAGACGGGCTAGGTGTTTGTCCTCTTCCTCTAGAGGATGTCCTCCCACGACCTCTACCACGACCTCTTCCCACTGCTCCTCTTCGAGCTACAGTCTCAGTGGCTGGCTCAGACGCCTCTTGTCTTGCCGGTGCTGGTGTTGCGTGGTTGTTGCTCTAGTTCTAACCATCTGCGAAATAGAGTGAAGATGGTCAGATACTAATTTGTATTACCTAGATACCAATTGGATCCAAGTAATAGCACGAAAGAAAGAAACAATGGAATTTTCCTAAAGTCTTTTAGCCTCTCAAAGAAAAGTAAAGGCGTCCCCCTACCGTTCCTCAAGACTCTACTAGACTCTTTCTTGTGTGATGAGACCAATGAACCTAATGCTCTGATACCAAGTTTGTCACGACCAAAAACAGGTTGCGAGTGGCACCCACACTTATCCTACTATGTGAGCGAACCAACCAATCTAAACCCCAACATTTCAAACATAATAAATAGAAAAACAATGCGGAAGACTTAAAACTCATTAACAAAATCAATAATCATCTTCTAAAAACTCAATACTTATTATTATCCCCAAAATCTGGAAGTCATCATCACAAGAACATCTATCCTCGAATTACTAAGTCTAAGAGTATCTAAGAAACTAAACATAAATAACAGCTAGTCTATGCCAGAACTTCAAGGCATCCAGACATGAAAAAGAAGATCCAGTCCAAGCTAGAAGCTTTAGCTCACCCTGAAATCTGGTGTGACGAAGACTGGCTAGAGTTGCGATTGAGTTGAAGACGACGGCACGTTTGCTGCACTCCACAAATAACAAGAGAAAAACATACAAGTAGGGGTCAGTACAAAACACAGGTACTGAGTAGATATCATCGGCCAACTCAAAATAGAAAACAGTATATATCAGATAATATCATAAAATCAACTACAATACTCAACATGCGGCATTTACAATTACCATAACCCTTGGTCACAACACTAAGCACATCAATGAGGACTCACACCTCCCCATCATACTCATTTGGGAATTAGGTTCATTAGATTTGAGTATATTAAGATAATTCAAGATTCATTCTCTTTATTCCTCTTGTGTCGGAACGTGACACTCCGATCCCATAATACTACGTGTCGATTCATGACACCCGATCCCCTAATACTATGTGTCGGTTCGTGACACCCGATCCCCCTAATACTACGTGTCGGTTCGTGACACCCGATCCCCCTATTACTATGTGTCGGTTCGTGACACCCGATCCCCCTAATACTATGTGTCGGTTCGTGACACCCGATCCCCTAACCTCATTCTTTTAGTTCATCAAGCCTTCTTTTATACCAAGTCATCATCATTAACAAGAGGTTTTCAAGATTTAGGATTCAATAGTTTCATCATGCTTATTTTATCACAATTATATCATCACATCCATGCAAGCATACAATTAAGCATATAGAAGGGTTTACAACACTACCCAATACATATCATTCGCTATTAAGAGTTTACTACGAATAGCATAAAAACCATAACCTACCTCCACCGAAGAATTGTGATCAAGCAAGCTAATCCTCAAAATCTTTGCTTTCTTCTTCGTTCCTCTCTCTCACGATCATTTCTCCCTCTTCTCTCTATTCTTTCTATTTTTCTTATTCCAACCCTTTTTCTTTTACCCTAATTAGCATATAATTAAGTATAAAAGATGACAAAAGTAACCCACTAATTAATTTAAGGTTATCTCCTTTAACCCTCAAGAAATTGGATTATTAATATTCAACCACTAACTTTATAATTATAAGCAGGAATAGTCCAAAATGCCCCCTTAAAATATTAAACAGAAATCCGACCCAGTCAGGGTTACGCAGAGTGTGACGGCCCGTTGTTCCTGCGACGGTCCGTCCTGCTGCTTCCGTCACAAGGTGCAGAGACTCGATTTATTAAAGAGTCTGTGACGGTCCGTCCTGCCACTTCGTCACGAAGTTCAGAGAGTCGATTTCAGTACCCAAATTTCAGAATTCTAAGTGTTTTGGAACGAGACCCCCTCGACGGTCCGTCGTACCCATGACGGTCCGTCGTGGGATCCGTCGTCTCAACCAGTTTTTCCAGAAATAAAATCTGCTGCTCAAAATGACTAAACAGGTCGTTACAAATAATCATTCAAATACCGCCGAGTTTGCATGATTTTGAGTTTGTATAAGTAAGATATGTCCTTTGAAAATTGGGTTATTTGAATAAGGAAAGTCTAATCAAGATTTTGGAAGGGTATTTCAGTCTTTTCCTTATCAATTATCTTAATTATTTTTTGAGAGTTTGATTGGGGTAAATCCAGATTTTAGTCAGTTTAGAAAAATTGAAATTCACACTAAGGCTTTGAGAAAAGAGGAGAAAAGAGAAGAAAGTTCAAGAATCGTCAAGAGCACTAGAGTTTAGCTTGTGGATTTCATCAAGCTTAATCACAAGTTAGATCATAAAGTGTTGGGTTTGTTTACCCACGCGCTAATCATTATACAATTCAGCTAAGTATTTAAATTTGAAAGTAAGTCCTTTGAGTTCTTGATGAAATCCATTTGAATTATTGTGGGTTGTGTTGTTAAGTTTTTGGTGCTTGATTCATGATTTTAGTTGAGATTGAGTATAGTTTGATACATTTTATATGGTTGAGTCGATTCTAAATGTTTGGGGAAAGAACCATTGGAGTTAAGGGGATTTAGAGTTGAAAAACGAGTAAGAAAAGTCGTCAAACACCTGGGGAAGGGGTGGTACATTGCGCTATCAAGAATGTTGCGGGGTTTGTCCCAACATTTATCTTAGTATTATAGAGTCTTAATAGATAGATAGTCAGTAAGATAATCAGTTTTGAGTCTCTCTTTATTTTGCATTTCAAATGTTTTATTTTGAGACTAAAGTGCCACTTTGTCCAAGACAATTTATTTTAAGTTATCTTGTGAGGATGATTCTTATTTATTAATGAGTTAAGTCTTCTGTTGAGTTAAGCAAGACATACTAAGGGTTTTCTCAAGGATAGCAATGATCATTAGGTATCGACCATGTCAAGGGTGTAGGCTAGGGGCGTGACACTGGTGACTGCAAGCGCGCCATGCCTTGCTCTGCCCAGGTGACGCCTGATGAATTTTCATGTTGTTTTCCTGACCTTAAATCTTTCTAATTCGATTCTTTTACTCAAATTCGCCGTATATTTATATAATCATTTCGTATGTACAAGGATCTAACCCAAGGAACTTAAGAAATATCACTTTCTACCTCAAGTAATTCATAAACTTAACTCATGTTCAAGAATGAAAGAAATTCAAGAACAACATTCAAGAACATTCAAAATTCAATCTTTTATGATGAATTCAGGATGAATTAAACATGTTTGGAACCTGGATTAACAAACCCAACTTTATGGAAGACTCACATACCTTTTTACCCTCGATGAAATACTCAAATGAATTCAACGATCTTCCGAATCTTTCCCTATTTCTTCTTCTTTTCTCTTCTCTTTCTCCTTTCTCTAAGCCTAGCGTGAATTCTCTTGGTCCAAACACATATGTTCTTCAATGATCCAAGTAATGAGGTTTCCTATTGTGGTGGGTTCTTTTATAGCTGTGGACACCTGGATAGGCACTCTGTCAATTCCAGATCTTCTGATAGTGACAGTTACGTAATATACTTTCATTTACTTTTGATCCTATCTACTTACTTATCTTCTGTGCTTCCATTTTTTTTTCATTATCACGCTAATTTGTTTTGGTTGGATAGATGTGTAGCCATATGGTGATACTGTTATGGACATTCAGATTTGGAAATTTCAAAGCTTGGTTGTTACCTACATGTGATCCTCTGTCAGCTTTAGTCTTCGGTGCTTGCACTGCAATTTGGATATCCGGGCTTTGACGTAGGGGTTTTTTAGTCTTGTCTATGGCATATTTAGTTTACATGGGTGGTTTTGGCGTTCATCGGACCTGCACTTAAACTGTTCCTTTCGTTCAATTCTTGCATCTATTGAACTTCAGAGCAGTGTATTTTTCATTTCATTAAGTGACCGTGTTTTATGTGTTTCTGTTGAGGTTTCTTTAGTAAAGTCTTTCATGAGTATTGTGATTTTTTATTCAGTTCTCTTTCCTTATGGATGCCTTTTCTCTGGTAAAACTATTGTTGTATTGATGCTTTTTTGACTAAGATAATATTTTCTTACAAGTGTGTATTGTGTTCTGCTGCCATGAGGATTTTAATCCAGACATTTGTTCTTTAATGATCCAACTGAAGATTTCACTCCTCATTATGGTTATATTTTCTTGATAAGTACTCGGTTTGTGGATTTATCTGTCCATAAAGTGCTGCTCTACTTCTGATCCACTTGCTAGATATATTCTTTGCTGCTATTTGTTGTTGGATGGGTGCGTAGACTATATGGTGAAAATATTAGGGGTTAGGATTTGGAGATTTCAAAGGTTGACATGCCGTATAGTATCGCTGTACCCTCTTAGTCTTTTTGGTTCTTGCACTACAGTATGGATGTATTGGTCAGGCTTCAACAAAGAAGGGTTTTAAATCTTGCCTAAATCTCATATCTAGTGATTTCTTAGTTGGTGTTGGTTTCGTCAATTTTGGTTTTTATTGCACCTTTTTTTTGTGCTTGCAGCCATTGGGTCTTACATAGCAGCGAATTATTTGCTTCATGGAGCAGCTTAGTTTGTCCGAATGTGTTGAGGTTGCCTTAGTTCAGGCTTTTATGACTACTCGGATTTTCATCTTGAGATAGTTTTTGTTTTTTGGCTAGTATGTGTCATATTCTACTGTCATTTTTGTTTTTTGTCCAGATGCTTCTTTTCTTTAATTATCCAACTGCGAGACTCCAAATGGTTGATGGTTCTGGTCTTATGGACACCTGACAAGATCTCTTGGATCTATTGAAAGCTCATAAACGGGTGGTGTTTTTGCTTTTCATTTTCTCTGCTTTCTTTTTCTTGTAAAACGTCAGCTTGATTTTGTTTGTGGGATGGATGTATGGTGTAAGTTGAGGGGATTAGACTTGTTGAAGAATTTCGAAGGTTGGTGTATGGTGTGCATTCCGTGCACCCTGTTTTTGGCTATATTGGTGCATGCACCAAAATCTTCATACTATCAGAGGCTTTGATAGAACGGTTCTCAATCTTGTCTCGCATTACTAGTGGATTCTAGGTAGTTAGGCTTCACCAGCTTTGCACTTAAACTATTCCATTCTTTCTATGCTTGCAGCCGTTGGGTCTTTTCGAGTTGTATATTCTTCTTTTCATGGAGCGGCCTTGTCTGTCGATTTATGTTGAGGTTTCTTTTGTCAATTTGTGTTGAGGATTTTTTTTGTCAATGCTTTAATAATTATTGAGATCTTTAATTCCGTTTCCTTCCGTAATCAGAATGGTTCCCTTTTCTCTTTGTCAACATTGCTTCACTATCTGTTGCATATTTTGTTGCTATTTTTTTAAAGTAATCCAGATGCTTATGCTTGTTGGTGATAAAACTGATGAGATGTTCATGGTTATGGACAGTTGATGAATGTATTCAGAATCAGTCTTGGATTTTTTGATAGCCCTGTAACACTTTTACTTTCATGTTGTAGCTGCTTCCCTTCTTTGCTTTCATTTAGCCTACTAGTTGATTTAGTTTGGTTGGATGAATGTTTGTAGGTTACATAGTGGTGATATGTTGATAGTCGGAGGATAAGATTAAATTTTGTAGTTTGGTTTTGATGTGCATCCCTGTGAATCCTGTTTCATGCCATTCTGGTGCTTGAACTGTTATCTGGATGGTAGGATATAACAGACACTTTGAGAAATAGGCGCTTTGCAATGTTATATTGTTTGGCATCTCTAGTGGTCTTGCTGCGTGGTATGAGTTTCCTATGATTTTCCATGTTTTGCACTGACATGTTATGTTATTTTTGTGCATGTGATCTGTGGGTTTTATTTACAGAATGAACATAAGTTCAGTTTGACCCTTTCCTCTTTGTCAAAACTACTGTTGTGTGGAAGTCCTCAACAATGGTAATATTTCCCATCAGTATGTGTTTTACTCTGCTTTCCAGTTGTTGTGTCACCCCATCTTGATTTCATTTGTTGGATGGATGGCAGTTAACAGGATAAGATGAGGGAAGTTCCAAAGGTTGAATGCCCAGAGTCCATTCCTGTGCATCCTGTTTTTTTTCCTATTTCCATGCTTGCACTGCAATCTGAATATACCAGGCTTGTTTGAGGGGGTTTCCAATTTTTTTTCTTTGCATTTTTGTGATTCTACTGTAATATGAAAATGACCAGGCTTTGAGAGGGTTTTTCAATCTTTTCTGGCGTTTTACAGTGGGTTTCGTAACTCCTCCCTTTGTTCCTTTGCTTGCAGCCATTGGGTCTCACAAAGCAGAGGATTTTTATTCTCATGGAGTGCCCTTATTTGTACATATGTGTTGTTGAGGTTTCTTTTAAGTCTTTTATGAGTATGATAGTTTTCAATTTAAGTTTTTTTTCTCTAATGACTGCTTTGTCTTTTCAAAACTACTGCTGTGTGAAGTTTCTCAATTAGGACATTATTTTTCACCAGTGTATTGTGTTCTGCTGCCATTAAGTTCTTAGTCCGACGCATGTGTCTTATATGATCCAATTGATGAGGTATCTTATGGTGATGATGAAGTCTCTTATGGCTATGGACAACTGATAAGTACTCGGCCAATTGTGGATCTTTCAGTCGTGGCGTAAAATACTTTGTTTCTTTTGTTCTTCTAGCTATTTATCTTCTCTGCTTCCATTTTTTCTTTTATCACACTAGTTTTTTTGGTTTGATGGATGTGTAGACCATATTGTGATACTGTTATGCATGTTCAGGTTTGGAAATTTCAAAGCTTGGTTAACCAACATGCTATCCTCGACCACGTTTTGGAATTTTTGTGCTTGCACTGCAATCTTGATATTATCTGGGCTTTGACAGAAGGGGGTATTCGGTCTCGTCTATGGCATATCTAGTCATCGTTTTGGGTGGTCCGGGGTTTGTAATAATTGCACTTTACTATTGCTTTCTTTCTGTTCTTGCAGCCATTGGCTAGTGAATTGTCTTTTCATGAAGCGGCCGTGTTTGTCCATTTGTGTTGAGGTTTCTTTAGTTAAGTCTTTTATGAGTACTGAGATATTTGATTCCAGTTTTCTTCCAGTATGGCTCCTCTTTCTCTTGCAAAACTATTGTTGTATGAAAGACTCAGTTTCTCAACTAAGATAATATTTTTCACAGTGTATGTTGTGTTCTGCTACCATGAGGTTTCTCGTGTAAGTACTTGGTCAATTCTGGATATTACTTCAGCGCCATAAAGTGCTCCTCCATTTCTGGTCATCTATCTACATATGTTCTGTCCTGCCCTTTTCTTTTAGTTGTCACAACTTCTTATTTTTGATGGATGGATGTGTAGACTATAAAGGACATAGTTGACAATTTGAAGTTATACATTATCCCTTTCCTGCAATAGATCTGGTGGGGAAAAAGGTTCCTAGATTTTTATCGTTCGTTATTTCGTATGTGACGATAGGTCAAACTATATTGTGGCATTATTAGAGGTTAACAGTTTGGAGATTTCAAAGGTTAATGTCCAGTATGGTATCTTTGTACCCTCTTTGTATTTTTGGTTCTTGCACTGTAATCTGGATGTATAGGTCAAGGTTTCAACAAGAAAGAGGGTTTTAATATTGTCTATATGACATCTCTTAGTGATTTCTTAGGTGGTAAGGGTTTTGTCAGTTTTGGACTGATTGTACCCTTCTTTTTGTTCTTGCAGCCATTGGGTCTTACAGAGCAGTAACTCTTTTGATCGAGAGGCTTTCTTTGTCCAGTTTATGTCGAGGTTTCATGGTTCAGGCTTGTATGATTACTGAGATTTGCAACTATTCTTTTTTTCAACTAGTGTGTGTCGTATTCTATCGTCATTTTTGTCTTTCTGTTTAGATGCCTATTTTCTTCATTTATCTAAGCTGACGAGATACATGATGGTTGATTGTTATGGTCTTGTGGACACATAAGAAGTACCCAATTTTGGATCTTTTGTTTGCTATTGGTGTTTGGTTGATCAGGTCTGGGTAATAATGATAGGAGAATGTGTATGGATACGTTTGTAGTGCATTTATTTATTTTGTTCCCAATTTCTTGGTGTAATTTTGATTGATTTCCATTGTTTTTATTATAGAAATTGGAAGCTGGTAAGGTCTATTCTGGATGCAGTTTTGGGAAACCGAGTATTGCTTCCTGGTTTTGGAAAATTCTGAGGTTTTTGTTGTGACAAATCATGTGTTGTTTACATTGTTTGTCACCCTATTTACTACGCTAAAACCTAGCAATTTCCTTCTATTGAATCAGAATATGAGTAGAAGTGGGAATTTGGATCTTGAGATGAAGGAGTCCCATCGTCTCCTTGCCATAACACATAGAGAGGAGCTGTCAGTTTTGATATGATTTCTTGACTTCCATTTTTAATGCTAATATTGATGTCTATCATGTTTATCCTCGCTCAACTTATTTGGTTTGGTCATCACTGGATGTCATTCTTAGTTAAGAATACATGGATTTGCATCTAGGTGCAAGTGGTTCTACAGTAGTAGATGTCTTGCTTTGTAATTCGTCCTTGGAAAGATGCAGCAGTGCCCAGGTTTTTGACTAGTAGTCTCTCGAAGTTTTTTCATAACTGCTTATGGAAGTTCTCAACTATGATAATTCTCTTCCTTTGTGTGTATGACACGTTCGGCTGCCAGTTTTACTTCATGGTTCAGATGCGCATGTCCTTTGTTAATCCTTCTATATCTTGTGGTGTTATGGGCACTGTATAAGTAGTCAAAGTCAATTCTGGATCTCTGATAGTGCTGAAAGTGCTCCTCTACCTTTTGTTTCCTAGCTACTTGTTTTCTCTGTGCGTCTGTTTTCCCTTGGTTATCACACCTGCTTGATCTTGTTTGTTGGTGAATATATGTGTAGGACCACATGGTGATATTAATAGAGGATTAGTTTTGGGAACTTTCGATTCTTGTATCCAATATGCATTCCTGTGCACCTTTTTCTTTGTCTTTTTTGTGCTTGCACTCCAAGATAGATATTGTCAGGCTTCGACTAATGGGCTTTTTCAGTATATGTTGCATCTCTAGTGATATCTTAGGTGATAAGGGTTTTGTCAACTTTGCACTGAACTTTTCCCTTCTTTCTGTGCTTGCAGTTGGGTCTAACCGAGCAATGAATTATCCTTTTCATGGAGGGGCTTTGTTTAGACATTTGTGTTGAGGTTCTTCTACTTCAGGTTTTGTGAGTACTGTGATTCACATTTCAATTTTCTTCCCTAATAGGAGTGGTCCCTCTTCTCTTTGTCAACAATTGTTGTTATATGGAAGTCCCTAGTAAAATTAGTTTTTCTTGCACTAGCGTGTATTGTATTCTTCTGTCATTTTTAGTTTGTAGATCAAATGTTTGAGTTCTTCGGTAATCCAATTGATGAGATTCCGAGATCCCTGGTTGGTTGATGGGTATATGGTCTTATTGACACCTAATAAGTAATCAAAACTCAATCCTATATCTCTTGACACTCCATCAAGTGGGTCTGTTCTCTCATCCTTGTTTGTTGTATCACCCCAGCTTGATTTTGTTTGTTTGATAGATGACAGTGGAGATTAGATTTGGAAAATTTCATAGGTTGATGCCCATGTCCATTCTTGTGCAAGCTGTTTCTCTGTCATTTATGTGCTGGCACTACAATCTGAATATTGTTAGGTGAGATAGAGGAGTTTCTTAATCTTGATTCTTTGCCAGTTTTGTGGTTGCACCACAATGTGGATATTATCAGGCTACGAGAGGGTTTTTTCAATCTTGTCTTGCATTTTCTAGTGGTTATCGTAAGCTTTGCAAGAAATTCTTCCCTTCATTCCTTTGGTTGCAGCCATTGGATCTTACAGAGCAGTGGATTCTTCTTTCATGGAGTGATATTGTTTGTCCATATGAGTTGAGGCCTTTCTTGTTCAGTCTTTTATGAGTATTGGTCATTCTTAATTCAGTTTTCTTCCCTATGGCTCCTCTTATCTTTGTCAAAACTACTATTGTATGGGAGTTTCTCAGTCAGGATATTATTTTGGACCATTGTGTTCTGCTGCCATTAAGTACTTAGTTCAGAAGCATATGCTCATCCATGATCCATGTTGTGAGGTGTCCTATGGTGATGAGGTCTTCTGTGTGGGCACCCGAATAAGTACTCGGCCAATCCTAGATCTTTTATCAGGGATGTAAATAACTTCTTTACTTTGTTCTTCTAGCTACTTATTATCTCTTTTTTTTCCATTTTTTTACATTATCATGATAGTTTGTTTTGGTTGGATAGATGTGTAGCCATATGGGGGTGTTACTGTTATGGACATTCAGACTTGGAAATTTCAAAGCCTGGTTATAATCAACATGTGATCCTCTGTCAACTTTTGGTCTTTGGAAATTTCAAAGCCTGGTTAGATCTTTTATCAGTAATGTAAATAACTTCTTTACTTTTGTTCTTCTAGCTACTTATTATCTCTTTTTTTCCATTTTTTTACATTATCATGATAGTTTGTTTTGGTTGGATAGATGTGTAGCCATATGGGGGTGTTACTGTTATGGACATTCAGACTTGGAAATTATCAACATGTGATCCTCTGTCAACTTTTGGTCTTTGGTGCTTGCGCTACTGAAATAAGGGTGTTTTTAGTCTTTGTCTATGGCATATTTAGTTAATACATGGGTGGTTTTGGGGTTTGTCAGATTTGCACTTTACTGTTCCTTTCTTTCAGTTCTTGCAGCCATTGAACCACAGGGTAGTGAATTATTATTTTCATGAAGAAGCCATGTTTATCCATTGTTTTGAGGTTTCCTTAGTAAGAGTCTTTTATGAGTATTGAGATTTTTGATTCAGTTTTCTTTCCTTATGGGTCCCTTTTCTCTGTCAAAACTATTGTCGTATGGATGTTCTTTTGACTAAGATATTATTTTCTTAAAAGTGTGTATAATGTTTAGCTGCCATGGAGATTTTAATCCAGACACTTTGTTCTTCAATGATCCAACTGATGAGTTCCCTCCTCATTATGGTTATAGTCACTTGATAAGTACTTGGCTTGTGGATCTATCTTTTAATAAAGTGCTGCTCTACTTCTAGTCTTCCAGCTACATATATTTTTTGCTGCCAATTTTTTGTTGGATGGATGTGTAGACTATACTGTGACAATATTAGAGGTTAAGATTGGGAGATTTATAACTTTAATGTTATCAAAAAACGATTGGGATATTTGTAAGGTTGATATCCAGTATTGTATCTATGTGCCCTCTTGGTCTTTTTGGTTCTTGCACTACAATTTGGATAATCTGGATATATCGTAGGGGCTTCAATGAAGAAGGGTTCTTTAATCTTGTCTATGTGGCATCTCTAGTGATTTCTTTGGTGGTGTGGGTTTTCGTCAACTTTGAAGTTGATTGTAACCTTGTTTTTGTGTTTGCAACCATTGGGTCTTAAAGAGCACTGAATTAAAAGCCACTTCTCCATTCATGTCGAGGTTGCCTTAGTTAAGGATTTTATAAGTACTGGGATTACAACTAAAATAGTTGATGGTTAATGGTTATGGTCTTATGGACACCTGATAACTACTCACTGCCTAAGTTGTGCGGATTCTTCACTTCGATGCCCTCACCCATGCTGATTCCAAGAAAAACTACTTTTGGCGAATCCGACATGCACCCGTTGACATTTTTGAAGAGTGTGAGCAACATAGCTCACTGCTCACTTTCTCTGGTTCCTTATTCTTGTATTACGCCAACTTGATTTTGTTTGTTGGGTGGATATATGGTGAAAGTTGAGGGGATTAGGCTTGGAGGATTTGGAAGGTTGGTGTACAGTTTTGCATAGTCTGCACCCTATTTCTTGGCCATGTTAGTGCACATAGTACAATATAGATACTGTCGGAGTCTTCAGAAGAAGGCGGTTCTATATCTCTTCTGGTATTTCTTGTGAATCCTTGGTGGTAAAGGCTTCACCAGTTTTGCACTTAACTGTTCCAATTTTTCTGTGCTTGCAACCGTTGGGTGCAGAGCCGTAGATTCTTCTTTTCATGTGGTGGCCTTGTCTGTCAATTGTGTTGAAGTTTTTGGTTGTTGCTTTAATGATGATTGAGATCTTCAATTTAGTTTTCTTCCACCATCAGAATGCTTACCTTTTCTCTTTGTCAATACTGCTTCACTAGTGTGTATTTTGTTGCCGTTTTTTTTGTAATCTAGATGCTTATGTTTTTTGGTGATTTTAACTGATGAGAACTCCATGGTTTGTGGGCGCTTGATAAGTGTATTCAAGCTCAGTCTTGGATTTTTGATTGCTCTATAACGCGCTCTACTTTCGTGTTCTCGCTGCTTAACTTCTCTGCTTTCATTTAGCTTACCAATTTATTTAGTTCTGGTTGAATGAATGTTTGTAGGCCACATGGTGGTGATATGATAGAAAGAGGATAAGATTTGTAAATTTTGTGGTTTGGTTTCGATGTACATCCCTGGGGACCCTATTTCTTTCCATCTGGTGCTTGCACTGCAATCTGGATGATTGGGAATCACCAGGCTTTAAGCAATGGGAACTTTGTTATTAAAGGATTCAGTGAGTGAAGAAAAAATCGGATCTTTAAAGCTGAATATGTTGCATTGTTTGGCATCTCTAGTGATCTCTCGGCAAAGTATGATTTTCAATCCCATGTTTTATACTTGTTTCGTTTTTTTTGTGCATGTAACCATTGGTTCTTTCAAAGAATGAACTTTTGTTCAGCTTTTCCTTAATCAGCGGGTCTGTTTTCTCTGTCTCTTTGTCAGAACTACTGTTGTGTGGAAGTTGCAAACAATGGTAATATTTTCAACTAGTGTGCGTTGCAACCTGCTTCCCGTTTGTTGTACCCCAGCTTGATTTTGTTTGGATGGATGGCAGTTAAGAGGATTAGATTGGGAAGTTCTGAAGGTTGTTGTCCAATGTTCATTGCCCACCCGATTTCTTTGCCATTTCTTTTTTTTTATGAAGATTTCTTTGGCATTTCCATGCTTGCACTTCATTCTGATATTATCAGGCTTCGACAGATGAGGTCTTTTATGGTTATAGACACCTAATAAGTACTCTGTCAATATTGGATCTTATTTTGACAGCGCCATTAAGTGCTCCTGTACTTCTGGTTTCTAGCTATGTATGTTTTTTCCTGCCATTTTCTTTTGGTTGTCGCAACTTCTTATTTTTGTTGGATGGCTGTGTAGACTATATGGTGGCAGTGTAGAGGTTACAGATTTGGAAATTCCAAAGGTTGATGTCCAGTATGTTATCTCTATACCCTGTTGGTCTTTGTGGTTCTTGCACTGCAATCTAATATGTACCCTCTTGGTATTTTTTGTTCTTGTACTGCAATCTCAAGTTATTGGTCAGGGCTTCAACTATGAATGGATTTTTTTTAATCTCGTCTATATGGCATCGCTAGTGATTTCTTACGATGTATTGGTTCTGTCAGTTTGGACTTGATTGTACCCTTTTTTTGTGCTTGCATCCATTGGGTCTTATAGAGCAGTAGAATATTCTTTTGATGGAGCGTCTTTGTTTGTCCGATTTATGTCGAGGTTTTTATGGTTCAGGATCTTATGAGGACTAAGATTTTCAACTAAACAATTTTTCTTTTGTCAAATTCTTATGGTTGTTTTTATTTTTCAGTTCAGATACTTATTTTCTTCAATTATCCAATTGATGAATTTTCTGGTAGTTATGGTCTTGTGGACACCCAACAAGTACTCAATCTTGGATCTTTCTCAAGCCTTGTAAAATGGTCTTCTCTTTTGTTGTTCTCGTTGATCGTTTCTCATATTCTCTGCTTTCTTTTACTTGTATTACGCAATCTTGAATTTGTTTGTTGGATGGATGTATGGTGACAGTTGAGGGGATTAATCGGGAAGGTTTTGATGGTTGGTGTACTGCATTCCTCTGCAGCATGTTTCTTGTCCATGTTGTGCTTGCACTATAATCTGTATATTATCATGAGGCTTCGGAAAGCGGTAGTTCTCAATCTTGTCTTGGTATTTCTCGTAAATTCTAGGCAGCGTGCTTCACCAGCTTTGCACTTAACTGTTCCATTCTTTCAGTGCTTGCAGTCACTGGGTCTTACAGAGCCGTGGATTCTTCTTTTCATGCAGCGGCCTTATCCGTCAATTTATGTTAAGAGTTTTCTTGGTTGATGCTTTTAATAATTATTGAGATCTTCAATTTAGTTTCTTTCGTAATAAGAATTGTTCCTTCTCTATTTCTCAGCCTTACTTCACTAGTATTTGCTTTGTTGCCATATTTTTTCTTTCAAGTAATACAGACGCGACTGATGAGATTTTGATGGTTATGGACATTTGATAAATGTGTTCAAATTTGGATCTTTTGATGGCCATATAATGCAGTCTTCTACTTTCGTGATCTCGCTACTTACAATCTCTGTGTTCGTTTAACCTACCAGTTGATTTAGTTTAGATTGATGAATGAATGTTTGCCACATGGTGATATGATGGTGAAGAGGATTCACTTTCGTGATATCACCATGCTCCAAGAAGAGGGCAATTTGAAATGTTACATTGTTTGGCATCTCCCCTGCGTGGTATGGGTTTCCCATGTTTTGCACTCGCCTGTTTCTTTCTTCTTGTGCATGTAACTGTTGGATCTTCCTGAGAATGAACTAAATTCAGTTTTCTTCTTAATAAGTGAGTCCCTTTTGTCTTTTCAAAGCTACTGTTGTGGAAGCTCTCAACATTCAGCAATGATAATATTTTCCACTAGTGCGTATGTGTTTTGTAGTCTGAAGTTGTGAAGTTTCTAGTCTTGATGCTAATTTTCTTGGATGATTGAACTAATGAGATCCCTGATTGGTATGGACACCTGAGAGGTACCATTTTAAATTTTCATATGGACCTAAGTTCTTCTACATTGGTTCGTTCTTGCTACTTGTCTTCTTTGCTCCTGTTTTTCCACTTGATTTTGTTTGTTCGGATGCATATGTGTAGACCACATGGTGACAATGAGGGGATCAGATTTGGTAGTCTCGAAGTTCTGTTTCAGTGTGTATCCTTGTGCACCCTACTTCTTTGCCATTTTGGTACTTGCACTGCAATTTGGATATCATCAGGCACCGAGGGAAGGGAGTTTTGCAATCATTCCTGGAATCTCTTGTGACCTCTTCTAATGTGGCGTGGGTTTCACGGCTTTGCACTCGACTGTTCCCTTCTTTTTTTGCTAGTTGTCGTTGGGTCTTTCTAGATCAGTGAAGTCTTACTTTCATGGAGCAACCTTGTTTGTCAATTGGCGTTGAGGTTTCCTTAGACAGGCGTTATTAGTATCTATCTTTTCGGTTCAGTTTTCTTCTTGGTTCATAGAGATTCCTTATCTCGTTGTAAGAAATGTTGTTATACAGAAGTTCTCAAGTACGACAATTCTTTCCACAAGTGTATTTTCAGCTTTTGGTCCAGATTCTTATGTTTGTTGTGATTCAACTGATGAGGTTTCTTATGGGTGTGACCTTGTGTACATTTGGTAAGTAAGTTCTCGGTAAATTATGAATCTTTCCATAACCTTGTGATATGCTCATCTACTTTCGGTGTCTTGCTTCTTACCTTCTTTGTTTTCATTTCTTTTTACTTATCACTCCACTTTCTGTTTTCAGTTGGAAGGATGTATATACTACATAGCAAGCAGTATTGGAGGATAGTAGGATATACACCATACATAGTGAACAGTATGGGGGATTAGAATTTCAGTTTGTGAAGGCAAGTGTTTAGTTAACTGGTCATTTAGGTGGTTGCATGGAAATCTAGATATTGTTAGTGCTTCGATAAAAAGGGGGTATCTAAATATTGTCTACGTCTTTCGTAGTGACTTCCATAGTGGTTTGGGTTTTGCGAGTTTGCACTGTTCCTTCTTTCTGTGTTTGCAGTTGTGGTCTTGAAGAACTAAAATTCTTCTTTCCGTGGGGCTACTTTTGTTTGTGATTTATGTTGAGGTTCCATTTGGTTCAAGCTCCTGCGAGTGCCGAATTTTCAGTTCAGTTCTCTTCTCTTATTCGTATGAATTTATTTTTTACCCTCTTCGAAATGGTACTATTCTTGTAGTGAGTTTATCTTTGTATGTCAGTGGTGGTTACCGCACATGGTCATATCATTCAATTTCTGGTTCTATTATTGGATGCACTATGTGTAGTCATAATCACTATTTTCAGTCTCATTGTGTTGGGTAATGAAGTCTTTTTTTTTTCAAAGTTACCTATTTAAAAAAATTACACAAACTGAAGCCTCTTTTATTTTTGGAAGTCTCTCCCCTATTATTTTTTTAACATGCCTATTATGTTTCAGATATTTAGTCATTTGAGGAGTTTCTTCAAACGGTCAGCTGCTATGTAAAACTTTAACGTAAAAAGAGAGATCTTTCACACTTTTTTTCTCCATGAAACATTGCCATTTGAACAGTCTTTGCATCAAAGAGCTAGCGGCAATTTATTGGAACTAGAGCAGTCAAGTAAAAAACTTAGCTCATCTTTTGTGAAAAAGGTCATATACTCAATACATAGGTAACTATTTTTTTCTGTGTAAAAGATCTTCTCATGAAATATACCATTGTCAATCCATCACATATTAAATAACCGTGCAAGTTGGGAATTTTTTTTTAACAAATCTTGTTCTTCTAAATAGTCTGCCAAGTTAGGGTTTGCACTAATTTTCTTAATATGGTTGAAATTACCACTGATTATAAAGGTAACCTTTGATCTGTTTTTCTGTGTTATATATCATTGGTGTATGTTGAGTGAAATGTCACTTCAGATGGTATGTTTTGTAAAATATCCAAGAAAAAAAATGAAAAGAAGTTTTTAAAAAAATGTTACTTACCTGATAGTCTGTTCAGCAAATAGACACTCCACATATTAGTCACTGATGGTTTCATCACTTTGTTCCCCTCATGTTCTACTACCATCGATAGTTCATTTTTTATTTTAGAAATTGTTCCTTGCTCCTTGGGTTTCTTGTGTTGGTGATTGAGTAGGAACCTTGCACAAGTAAATGGGATCTTCTATGAAGACCGCTTCAGATCGAGTTGTGACGGTCACGAAAAACTGATGTTGTCTTTGCCTTCATTCATAGAGGATAACTCTTCATTCACATGTTGCACTTTACTTTTGGCTGTTATACGTTGGACATCGTATGATATAGAGCACTGTGCTTTAATTTCTTGGTTGTATCATTAGGGAACAACATTTTGGTGAAGAGGGTTCCAACTATGATTTCTGTTGCAGGTTCCTAGGAATTCTTTTGGAATTCTTTTGTGAGTCTGGTTTCGGTTAAAACCTATCTTTTTTCTTCCTCTTACCCTAATGGCGGTAGAGATGGCAGCTTCTTTCTGATGGTTAGAGGTGTTTGATGGTGGTTGCATGTGTGAAATAATTTATTCATGTCTTGTGATTTTGATTATATCTCTATACTTTTTTGAATCTGGTAACATGTGTGTATATATATATATACTAGTTCTGAAGTCGTGTCTTGCACGTTTGACCTCCATTACTGTTATAATTTATATAGACCCAATTCTTGTTGATATAAAATTGCTGAACATTTTGGAAGTATTGCAGTATGTGTTTTCGTGCATATAAAATAAACTCTTTTTAGTGTTTACTTTCTGTCCGGAACATGAATATCAACATTTTTTTTGGAGGGGGGATATGAGCAACTTGTAAGACTAGAACAATATTTTTACCAATTAGAATTATCATTTAAAATTCTAAGCCCCAAGGCTTAAGTTTCTTGGGATATAATACTCCAACTATCATTAAAATAAAAATGAAGGGAACAAACCAATAAGAAAAATAGTGACTAATAAAAAGATATCACATGAGAACTATTAGATGATGTGTTTTCTCCAACAATCATGAAAATAAAAAATGAACGAAGGTACAAAGCTATAAAAAAAAATAGTGACCAATAAAAAAAATGTTACATAAGGATGATGAAACACAAAGTGCCGTGGAATTTATATTTTTTATCCAATTTATCAAGGGAGAAACTAAGTACATGAAAGGTTGTGAATGAATGTGTTTAATGATAGAAGCTTAAAGGTTTAACAATCAAATTCATTAAGAAATGGAAAATGATAATTTGTAACACTAATCATGTATTTGGTCAAGTTTAATTGTCATTACTCATTTAATTTTAAAAATTAGTAGATATTTTGATTTAAAAAATTAGTGAAAGGCATTTTCGTAATTTAACTTTGAACTTGAAATCTTCCCATTTTTTTTATATAATATAATGTGTGTGTGTGAGATATGAATTAGATCTGCACCATGAAAGTGCTATCTACAATTACAAAAACCCAACCATGCTTAGGACTTATCATGGAGGACAATTTGGAAAGAGAGGAACTACAGAATCTTTGAAGACAAAAGCAATCATGTGCAGAAAATAAAGATGAATTGTATTCTTTTGTTCCTTTTTTAATGTATAGAAAAATATGTAGAGGAGACTGAATCAAAAAAAAAAAT